CAGCTCACAGCACAGTAGTCTGTACACAGTGAGAGTCCCATGTGCATTTTTCTCATGGGTTGCATGATAGAATCATTTGAAAAGCTTTTGGATGGAGTACCTGCTCTTCATGGAAAAATAAGAATTTCAACTTGAGAAAAATGTGAAAGCCCTTCAGTATGTCCAGTTTCCTTCCCATTGCTCTTCTACATGTAGGGTACCCTGCCCACAAACTGGATGAATCTGCAGTCTTCTCCATCAAAATGCCTCACAATGTATTATTCCTTTGCTGATATTATCCCTTCTGACTGTAATCCTTTTCCCCAACTTTTCCTATCAAAATACCAACTCACCCTTCAAGAACAAATCCAAATGCCATCTCTGCCATGAAACTTTCCAAGGCACATTTTATTGCCTTGTCTCTGAATTTTCATGGTACCCTGTGTCTACTTCTTTCATGCTATAGGCTGGTGAGATGGAATAGCATGGGTTCAAATCCAACTCCATTACTTGCTAAGGCAACCTCAGTTTTCTATTCTGGAAAAGGGGATAACAACGTGCCTCAATGGAATACTGGAAGTTGCTAAAGAAATAATATCTGCATCCCACTCAACGTAAGTCTTGGCCTAGGGACCTCAGTTAATGTCACTTGTCATCATTATCCCTGGGAAGTAGGATGAAGTAATGGTTAAAAATGTGGGCTTGGGAGCTAGACACATCTAGGTTCCAGGCCTGGTTCCGTCATGTCCTGACTTTGTGACCTTGGGCCAGTTATCTCCTCTCTGAGGCCCAGTTTCCTCATGTGTAAAATGAAGTAATAGTTTTATTGCCCCCATCCCAAAATCTGTTGGGAAGATTCAAAGACATAAAGTATGAAAGGTAAACCACCTAGCACAGGGCTCATCACATAAAATTTGCTCACTTAGGTCTATGTATCCCTACAACCTATAAAACTCCTTTAAGGGTATAGACAACATTTTACTTATCTTTGAAGCTCATCCTGTCTAGCTTAGCCCAGAACCTCTGCAGCTGGCAGGCCCACAATAAATCATTGTTGAATTGAATTGAATTGAATTGAATTGAATTGAATTGAATTGAATTGAATTGAAAACCCAAACCAGATGTGCCTCCACCCCTGTCAAGTGAAGCTTTCAAGCTGGAGGATTGGGCCTGCTGCCCCTTCAACTCCCCCTCAGTTAAAGCTAGGAGGCCACCATTGTCTCCTGGGCTCTGGGGAATTAGGCAGGATGGTAGAGAGGCATACGAATTTGGGAGGAATAGACGGGACAACTTGGGTAAGGAAGAACACTCTGTCTCCTCTTAGTGACACCCAGCAAACTGCCTTTCAAGGGTGCTATTCTGAAGTCTCTGTTGAATGAAAAAAGGTGGGTTTCATTCCTGAAGCCCTTCACCCATCCAGTGCTCAGCTGTGGAGGAAACCCTCTTTTCCCTAAAACAGTGGTCGGCAAACTGCGGCTCATGAGTCACGGTTTGCCGTTGACTAATGAGTTTGCCGACCACTGCTAGAGAAAAACACTTAAAAAATGTTTAATAATGTACTGATGTCTTCAACCTGAAGTCAAAACTTCTGGGTAAAACTTATGCAGTGGTCGACAAACTAATGAGACTACTGCCCTAAAACATCAAAAAATGGGAGTAAATAAAAGTGTCAGGAGAAAGTGCCCTTCTCCTCTAGTAAAGATGGCAAAACTGAGGTTCAGAGATGTTCAGCTCCAAAATCATGAGGCAGGGTTTCAAACCGGAGTTCCGCTGGCACCACAGGGAAGTTCTAACCACTGAGCACCCTGCCTCTAGGTTAGTCTTGCTACAGAGGAACAGAGGTATGTATATATACCCCCACCTCCTCAAAAACAATTGGGAATAGAAAACAAGGCTTTAATTGAGGAAAAATACTCCAATAAGCACAAATCAGTTTTAAAACTACAAAAAGAAGCCCATGTCTTTTCATGTTTCTGAGCCAGAACGGCATATACAGAGCACAGGGAGTAGAATGCTGTCCAGCACAAGGTCAAGATTAAGTCAGACACCAGAACATGGCTGTCTAGACTGTAACTCTGGCTCTGTCATATGCTAGTCTGCTTGACCCCAAGCAAGTGACTTACTCTGCCTCTGTTTTATCACCTATCACAAGGTGCCATTAATAGTACCTCCTTATATGGTTATCTATGAGAATTAAATGGCCTAATATTTGTAAAGCACTTACCATGTACCTGATGCATGTTAAATATTATATGACTATTAAATAAAAATAATTGCATACCCCTGTCCCTCTGTAGCAAGACTAGCCTAGAGGCAGGGTCCCGTGGTTAGAGCTTGCCTGCAGAGCTAGTTGAACAAAGGCCAGCCTCATGATTTCAGAGCCTGGTTAAATCAGTTTTATCGTCTCCAACATGGTGATTCTAATAGTCCCTACTTCAAAGGCTATTGCAAGTTTTAAATGAGATAGATAGTTCCAAGTCCTGAGCTTAGTGCCTGACAGAGCAGAGTGAGTAAACAGCCATCAAAGGCAGGGTACTCATAATCTGAATCTTGGAGAGTACTGCTTCCCATTTTTTGCCTCTTCTGGGTTAATACATGATACATAGTTTTGGAAATCCTCCCACAGTGAAGAAATAATTTCATTGTTTTGCCAATGAAATTCCTAAACATCTTATTTGAGAGTCAGAAAGGGGAAACATTTCTAATCATTTCTAAATCACAAATGCATGGATTATCCCTACTAAGCAAACTTGACCCCCAAAGCTGCATACATCACTTTGAAGGACAAAATTGAAAGAATGACTATTTCACTGCAAACAAAACCCATTTTTGTTTGCTACCCAGTTGTTGGTGTGTTTTTATTTGGGAGTGGAAGAATACCTCAAACGAGGAGCTTGGGAAATTCTTGAAAGTTCTCATTTTATTCCAGCAAAGCCAACTGAATTGGCAAGACTCCAGGCCAGGTGAACCTCAGTCCCAATGAGTTGCCTCTGCCCACCACACTTCACACAGCACCCAGAACCCAGCAGATGCACTGGCACCAATACACATTGGTTATCGATTCCTCCCTGGGAGCCCCAGATTCCATTTCTACAATATCTGCTACATTGCCAATACACTCAGAAAACAGCACTAAAGAACATTTTGAAAACAGGGAGAAAAAACATCCATCAACTCACCACTCTAACACAACTCTTAATTTTGTGTGGATAGTTCTTTTTCAGTCTTTATCCACGTGCAGACATATTTTTACAGCATGAGTCATAGAAGAAAACTGCAGTGACTTCAGCCAAGAACCAGATACCATACTGCTCATGTCACTAAACTTTCCAAGTGCGGGCCTTTTCTTCCTTCATTCATTTCATTCATTGTCAGTAAGTCATTCGACAAACATGGAATTAACCAGGCTCTGGTGCTATTCCCTAGGAAGTACAGAGATGGAGATGACTAAACCACAATCCCCAACCTCAAGCAGCTCCCAATTTAATAGGGGAAACGGGAAACCCAGCAGGAAATCATAGCACATTGTGATCAATGCATAAATGCTGTGAAAGCACAAAAGAGGAAATATTAAAAGGTGTATGGGACTGCAAGGAATGCAGAGATCAGGCAAAACTATACATAGGCATGAAGTTAGAGGAAAGCAAGGTGTCATCAGGTAGTCAAAAACAGTTCAGAATGGCTGGATCATAGGCAGACGGCAGTGAACACAGTGAGAAAAAAAGAAGAGGGCAAATTATTAAGGTTAAGGTTTACAGTTTCATTCTGAAGATTGCAGGCGAGCTCCAGATGAATTTTAAGAAGGGTAGTAGCACAATACATTTAAGTAAGATTGCCCCAGTACCAGATTGGAGGGTAGATGGGAGGACATGGGTAACAGGGAGACCATTTTGCAGGCTGTCACAGTAATCTATCAAGATAAGGAGGGTCTAAACAAATGAAATAGCTTCTTCACCTACATGCTGTGTCACCTTAGTAGGTAACTTAACATCTCTGTGCCTAACATCTCCTCTGTACAGCAAGACTAACATTAGCATTTCCCTGTGGAGCTGCTGAGAAGATTAAATGGGATATTGCATGTAAAGCACCTGGCACCATGGATGGTACCCAAAAGACATGTCATTTCCCCTTCCCCTCATTCTCTTTTCTTCCACCTCACCCTTCCTTAAAAGCTGGCACAGTATGGAACATGGAAGTGGCTGAGGCAGGATTCTAACCCAGACAATCTGACTCCAGAGGACAGTAGAGAATTTTAAAAAGTGCTGTTGTCAAGGCAGTTACTTAGAAGTATTGTTTAGCCGAGTCTAGGACCCAGCTGAGGTTGGAAACTATGACTTTCAAGTGGGACTAATCAACAAAGTAATGGGATTTTCTCCAGCAGTGTTCTTCCATCTGGGTATAAGCACAGAGAAGGAGGCTGTTAGTTAAATTTATCCAGGCTTGGGTTTTTGCCTAGTGAATTGTCAGAAAGACACAGGGGAAGGAAGTTGAGAAGATAGACAAGGTCCTGAGGTCTACATTATAGGATTTAGGCAAACACATCTGGCTTCAAATCTCATCTCTGTCCTGTACTAACTGTTGGACTTTGGGTAAGTCACTCAACCTCTCTGAGCCTCAATCCCTCATTAAAGAAAAAAAAAGACAATAGCATTGTTATGGTGAGAATTACATGAGATTGTTGAAATGATGCCTGGCACATACATAGTCATGGCTAATTTTATCATCATTACCATCATTTTCAAGAATGGAGAGGGAATGAAGGTGGAAGGGGCTGACAAAGTACGAGAATGAAGGAAGCTCAAGAGCCTAGAGATCCTCCTGAGGTAGAAAGATGAGCTTTGAGGTCAGCGGGCAGAATGTGGATAGTGGAGGGTTCTGAGAGCAGTTTTAACCAGTGATGAAGCATGGTATGGCTAGAATGGGGGTGTGTCCTGCACATGGATCATGTATGCCGAACTCACCCAGAATGATGTCAGGACTTGGGGTGAAGACAGTGAGCCAGATGTCGAACTCTTCGTTGAATGGTTGAAGGGGGTGGTTTGACCAGGAAGGGGTGGTTAAAAAGAAGGGTCGATGAGGAGTGGAGAGAAGAGGGTGCTGTAGCCAGATGGCATGAGAAGGAGGAGCTCTTAGCTGAAGGCGGGGAAGTAACAGTCTGGAAGCAAACAGGGAAAACTAGAGCACAGACCCCACCTCCCAGCCTTAGAGTGCCTATGGTGTGGGAGTGTGAGCAGTGTCCACTAGGGGGCCGTGCAGGCAAAGCCGTGAGCTCCTTTGGTGGAGACTCAGGTTTCAGCGCTTCCAGGCATGGAGGAAGAAAACCGTTTTCTGTAAAGTTTATTTTCAGTGGAATTGTTTCCTTTGAGGGAAAGGGGGCGTCCAAAGGGTACAGAGAAGAGTGGGAGAGGGCACTAGTAGGGAGATAGATGAGCCAGGGGTGGTTGGGGAATGGGAGCACAGAACAGAATGAGGATGGTATGGGAGAAAACAGATGACCATCTGAGAGAGTCACGTTTGGGCTGTAGCCAAGGACTGGGGGATGTGAGGCTTGGTGGGATTAACTGTCCTCAGATTTCCAAATGGAGCTTTTTTCCCTTTTACATCTTTTGTTTATTATAAAAGTAGCATATGCTTGTTTCAAGCAATTCTAATCATTACTGAAGTGAATAATCTGCCTCCCTCGTGCTGTTCCCCAGAATAATCACTGTTAAATGTCTATCCTTCCAGATTTTCCTATGTGTAACACATAATATCTTTAACAAAAATCAGATTCTACTGTACTAATTCTTCTGAAACTTGCTTTTAGCACAATCCTATATTGGAAACATAATTGCATATCATTATATAGACATCTAGCCTGACATCATCATTGTCATGATTCTATGTATTAGTAGTAACAGTAGTAGGAATAGTAATGAGGGGCAATTATTGAATGTTCTGCACCAGGTACTGCCTAAGTACTTCATATTTCATATGGATTATCTCGTTTACTCTACATAACTTCATGAGGAAGGTATTGCTATTTTCCCATTTTACAGATGAGAAAATTGAGGCACAGAAGTGTTTAGAAACTTGGGCAAAAGCACACAGCTCCCAATGGCAGTCTAACACCAGAGTCAAAATTATTAATTACTAACACAATGAACCTCAGTCTGTCACTATTTGGATGTACTATATTCCTCCACTGAAGTAATTTAGGTTATTTCTATTTATTTATTTATTTATTTATTTATTTATTTATTTATTTCTATTTACAAATAATAAGCATTGTGATATATGAAGCATTTAAAAAAAATGAACTCCTAAAAGACTTCTTGTGTCAAATGATTTTTCAAGTTGCTTTTCAGAAGCTGTGCTAATTTAATCTTTTTTTGGAGGGGGGGGGGGACTGTGCTAATTTAGACATGCACCAAAGGTGAATATGTGTGTCTAATTCACCATATCCTGATAAACACTAGGCTTTAGCAACCTTTTATATTTTTGCCAGTCTGAGAGGTGAAAGATGACACTTCAGGTGGCTCAATGCTGTTTTAATTTGCATTATTATTAATTATTCAGGTTGTGAACCTTTTTATATGGCATAACCTCTTTGTGTCTCCTCTGACAGTCCCCTGTAAATTGTTTAAAATGTTTTTATTTATATTTTAGCAAGAGGGGAAGGGAGAGGGATAGAGTAGAAACATCGATGAAAAAGAAACATCATTGATCTGCTGCCCCTTGCATACCTCCTACTAGGGTTCGAGCCCTAATACCTGGGAATATGCCCTGACTGGGAATTGAACCAGCAACCTCTTAGTTCTTAGGTCAACACTTGACTGCTGGGCCCCTGTTCATTTTGCTTTGACGATTTTTCCAGAGCATTGCTCATCATGGTCTCATTGATCTAGAGAAGCTCACTCATTCATTCCTTCCACAACTATTTATTGAGCACCTACTGTGTGCCAAATACTACCTTTTTAAATATATTTTATTGATTTTTTTTTTACAGAGAGGAAGGAAGAGGGATAGAGAGCTAGGAACACCGATGAGAGAGAAATATCTATCAGCTGCCTCCTGCACACCCCTACTGGGGATGTGGCTGCAACCAAGGTACATGCCCTTGACCAGAATTGAACCTGGGACCTTTCAGTCCGTGGGCCAACACTCAATTCGCTGAGCCAAACCGGTTTCGGCCCAAATACTACCTTAAGATCAGTCATATAGTGGTGAATAAGCAAAGCCTCTTTTCTCATGCAACTGACATATAAGTACATAGAGGAAACAGATACTATGCAAATAACTGAGTAATGTAATTGTAGATCATGGTGAGTACTATAAAGAAAATAATGGAGCTCTTAAAATAAAAATTAACTATTGTCTGCCTTCTATGTTGTGATTTTATCCTCATTTGTTCTTTGTCTTTCAATTTTGCATGATATCTTTTGCCATACTGAAGTTCTTCAATTTTGCAGTCAAATCTGTAATTCTTTTTCTCTGCAACTCTTGGGGATTTTTTTCTTGATATGCAAAGACATCTTATTTCAATATTTATGAAATATTCTCCTATACTTTCTTCCCATTTTAATAGTTTCTCCTTTTAAAATATAAATCTTTGACCAAACTTAAATATATTTTGGAATAGGGAGTGAAAAAGAGAGACAGCTTTAGTTTATCTGATGGCAGGCCAGTTGACACAGTGAATGGCACAAGGTATTAAATGGTATGCTCTTTTCTCCAGGGATGATGAATTAAGGCCCACAAAAAGAAAGAGCTTTTCTCAGGGTCATGTAGTAGTAGCAGAACTGAGCAGAAATATAAGGTCCCAGAGGTTGTTGACTCTATAGCAGCAATACACAACCGAGCTTGCCATGGCTCATCCCCTGATGCTCTTGAGCCACCCACCCTGACCTGCACCAGGATTCACTGTCTGTGTCTAGGACACCTTCCCTTTCCAATAATCCCCCTAACCTCTTGCTCAGAAATAGAAGTGCATGACCCGTGGTAGCTTTGCTCCATATAAACAGGCAAACACCTGCTGATTTCTTCTAAGATACTTTGCATTGAGGCAGTTCTGGCTACAGAGCACTGGCATAGGAAACAGACAGATTTTCCACTTAGGAACCAAAATAAGAATTGTCTATTCTAAATAAAGAAATCCGAGGTTGTTTTCATTCAATTGATGATGGAGTAGCTGCTGTCCCAGAAGTCTTCCAAAAGGGCTGCTTTGAATTATGCCAAAGCAATAAGGTAGGGGTTTGGAACCTTCAGGAACTTGTATTGAGGATCCAAGTAGAAGAGGCCAGAAATCCAAAAGGTTATCTTGAAAGGACAAGTGTTTACAGCACCTCCATTGCAGCTTAGCCTAATATTTCTTTTCATTTGGTGTTTCATATATAGGCTTTCCCTTATCACTCCACATTTTTCTTGTCTGTGAAAATTCTCTCTCTCTCTCTCTCTCTCTCTCTCTCTCTCTCTCTCTCTCTCTCTCTCTCTCTCTCTCTCTTTCTCTCTCTCTCACACACACACACACACACACAAGACAGGCAGGGGGGAATGTATCTCTTCTGAGAAAAAGCAAAGCAAAGTAGTAGGTGTTGAAGTCATTCATGCTATTTGAGGTGACATTTTTTAAAGCTCATGTTTCCCTCAGTTACTAGGAGATTTCCAAGTGTGCTAACAAAATATAATAGGTGCATAATTGCCTTCATTATTTTACTCAGCTTTTTCCATGAATAGACACAGCCAAACATACTGATGAGTTCGTGTCCTCCTAACCTTGGTGGATATTTTGTTGCTTCCTTTCTAAACCCTGCAGTAAATTTACTGTTTGTAAAAAGGTAAAACAGCCCTTTGACATTCCATCTGTCCCCTACCTACAGGCAAAGTGGGTAGCCAGTGCCTGTGGTGAGATTTAAGGTTCTTCTTCTCATGCCAGGGATCTCACCAATCAGTCACAATGTCAGATATTCCCACAATCCATACAGTGGGGGGAAAAACATGAATTCCAGCTCCAACTCCACCATACTTGTGTGACCTGGGGCAAGTCACTGCCCCTCTCTGGGACTCAACTAGTTTTCAGTAAAACGAGGTTAATCTGAGTGAATTCCATATCCAGGCTTCTTGTCAAATTCACTCCTGCTGTTTATTTATATGAATATTCCAAACCACAATTCAGACTTACTGAATCAGATTGTCAGTCAGAAGGCGCTTTTTTGTATTTCAACAAAACTCCCAGAGATTCCACTGTGTGGACAGGTTTGGGATCTAGTGAACCAGATGACCTCAGGGTCGCTTTCACCTCTGGCATTAGGTGGTTTGATACCTCCCTCAAGGTTTCTCTATTTTATCTCTAAGAGAAGTGCTTCTCTTCACTCTCACCCCACCCTCATGCAAATGGGGAACACATTCTCTCATCAGGAACCATGAAGGCTTTACCCATTGTTTGTCAGATATTGAGCAGTCACCTTTGGGCATAGGACCCGGAAGTAAGGCATATACTTATTATTGATAGGAAAGGAAATACAATACTGAAAAACAACAACAGCAACAATGGGAAAATGGGGGACTGCATCTAAAGGTCAAGGCAGCCTGAGACCCTATTGGACATAGAAGGCATTGACATACTGTAAAGATAGCACCTAAGGCTCATTTTCCCTGGGGTCATCTATGCCTCAGCCCAGGTAATACCATGCAAAAAGGTACAGCCAAGCTAGGAAACAGCTTTCCTTTTAGTTGGCGAGGTCTTATGATTCCTGAGGTTGATACCATCAAGTGAAGACTTGAACACATCTATTTCTGCCACTTGGACCATGTGATCTCAGTCCCTCACCCAAGCATCTTGAAGACAAGATTCCTATGAGAAACACTGGGCCTCAACATCAGAACACTCTAGTTTTGGGAAAATCTTTGAACTAGGGCCCTTTTCTCAAAACTTGCATCCTGCCCTCTTTCAGAGCGATTAAGAGCCCCCATCTCCTGCCAGTTTTATCCCCTCACTCTGCTGACCTAGATCCGTAACTCTCTGTCTCTGTGCTTAAGTACACATTCATTATTCATTATTCACTCACCTGCTATTTTCTAAGCACCCACTCTAACCTAGCACTGGGTTAAATAGGCCAAATGGAAGCAAAACAGAAGTGGTTCTGGCCCCCAGGAAGCCAACAGGCTAGCACAGTAGTTTACATTATCAGAATTAACACCTCTCTTTTTAAATAATAAATCTTTGTTGTTGTTGTTGTTGTACTCCTTTACTATCCTGAAATGAAATTCATAGATAATATAACCTGCCTTACACACATAAATTTAAAAGATCAATGAATGCCCAGCCACATAAAGAGGAAATGAAAGTAATCCATAGTAAAATACTATGTATTTAAATATGTAAATACTCACACAGGGCTACATGGAAAGAGTAATTCAAGTAGGGAGAGGCAGGATCATGATGAAT